AAAAAAATGAGATTGTAATAATTTAGAATCATTAAAACTCTTTACTTACACTGAAAAAAAGAGGGCGCATTGCGTTACTTTTTCGAGTCTTGGAGCGCGATTCAGCTTTGAGGGCTACTGTGCGACTTTGAAAGTGTGCTGTAGGCTTTTCTGGGGCGCGCAACGCACCCCAAACTTGTACACCTCAATCTGAGGCGAGCTACGCTCAAATCTCAAATTTTTTTGAAAAAATGTTTTTTTCAAATGAACTTGTATAAGAACATGAACGGTTTCATGTGTAATTACATAAACCTGCACAAGAATATGTACAATAACATGTGTATTTTTTTTGTTTACAAATATTAAATATGTTTCCTTGTGCAAGATCTTATACAAGTTCTGATACAAGTAGTTGTTTTAAATCCTGGTGCCGAAATTGTACATTTTCTTGTACATGCACTCACTAGAACAGGTACAAGTTCAGCTGCTGAACAATGTTGATGTAAGGAAGACGATTTTATTATATACCACCTTAAATTTTACTATTTAAAAAATTTTTCAATTAAAAAAAAATTTTTTGAAAAAAGACGATAAAATTTTTTTTTGGGGGTATTTTTAAAAATCCTCTCGTCATTTTTGAGAGATTAATGTGATAAATAAGCCTACCAAATTTCACCCAAATCCATTAAAACCTGTTCAAGATATTGTGTTCACAAAAAAGATCCATACACACATACATACATCCGAACAATTGAGCAGGATCTCATATAACATGTTTCTATATAGAGGAAAATTTGTTTTCACCATTTTTTAAAATTTTATAAACGAAACGACTACAAAGCTTCGTCCACGAGGAAGCAAAACAATAAACATTTACTTCTTTAAAAGCTTATATCCTCTAATATTAGGATATCTAAAAAGTGAATTAAAAAAACTTTATTATTGCTTAATTGCTCTTATTAATAAACAAAATTTTTAATTATTTGTTTACAAATTTTAAACTAGTATATTTTTTTAACAAATCATCACATTTTAATTACACACAAACAATTTGAAAGATAATTTATCACCTTTAAAACGCTTTTTTAAAAATTGTGATACGATAAAAAAAAATTTACTATTTTTTATGATTATAATTATATGCATTATAACCTTATATACGATATGTAAAAAATAGTAAAAAAATTTTTTTTCTTTAACTTCCAAATATTCTTTTTTTAATTCTTCACATAAAATGGAACATTTTATTCCACAACAATTTTTTCGAAAAAGCAACCATTCTTGACTAATCATTAATTAAAGAAAGGGATATTTTTTAAACGATTAACCATAACTTTGTTAAAAATTATCGTATCACCATTTATAAAAGAGCATTTTAAAAGTGATAACATTACCTTTCAAATGCTATGTGTGCAATTAAAATGTGATGATTAGTTAGAAAATATATTAGTTTAAAATTTACAAATAAAAAATTGAAAATTTTTGTTTATTAATAAGAGCAATTAAGCAATAACTTTTTTTTTTAATCACTTTTTAGATATTTTAATAGTAGAGGTTATAAGCTTTTAAAAAAGCAATTGTTCATTGTTTTATCTTTATTAGAAATAAAAATGTATAGCTTTTTGCAACGCTTAAAATTATATAAGGTGGGAAAAATCTACAGCGAGCAGCACTGTATATTTGGAGATTTTATTACTTTCATGTAAGACAAAATTTTGTAAAATATAAATTCTGTTAAATGGAAATTCTATGAACTATACAATGTATTTTATAAAAGTTCGGAGAAACAGAAATACTATTAAATAAGAATTCATTTAAATAAATATTTTTTGATATGAAAATTCAGTTTATATTTTTTCAAAAATGACACTGCGAAAATTAACTAGCTTTTTTTGTGGGCGACCTTAATGTGTCTCCTATTTTCTTTTATGACAATTTTAAACCTGATCCTGTAGTAAGGAAACAATATTTTCAAGATTTGCGTAATTTTGAATTTTTTAAAAAAATACCTCCGGTTTTTTGTACATAAAATACATAAATGTACCTAGTATAAAAAAACAGAGGTATTTAAAAAATGCAAATTATTAAAAAAATAAATTTTTCTTTTCTTTTACTCTTGTTATTATGTTTTTTTTCTTATCAACCAATTTTCTTTGTATATCTTCTAGTTGAGTGCAACCCACTAATGGCTCAAGTAGACCGCATGTTCACAATTGTATTAAATAAATAAATAAATTGTTTTCCTACAGCCGAACAAGGCGTAAAAAAGAAATTACAAAAAAAATCGGAGATGTAAATGGAAAATAGTTTTTGATTTGGCGTGAAATATCACCTATAAATCTATCTAAATCAACTAATATTTCTTGCAAAGAAAAAGAAAGTTTACAACTATGCAATATTTGTTTTTTTATCAACTTTCTATAAATGAGTTTTTCTTGTAGGACAAATTGTTTTTGTAATAAAAATTTTTGAAAAAAGATATTTAAAATTTTAACTTTTCAATTGTAAATATATCGCAAAATAATTTTTTTTGCAAAACTATTAAAAAATTAAATAGTTTAAATAAAATAAATGATCCACCTGTTTCCTTTTCTAAAGAGCTGCCCTAGAGAAAATCTAACCTCAGCACCACTATGGTTTCCTTGGCCTTCGTAAGAATAAATAAAAGAAATCAATACTAAATTATCTAAATTATGTAGTGTCTAAAAATATATTACCTTTTCAAACAATGTAAATACTGACTGCTGTAAAGGTATAAAATTTTTTTTTAAAAAAGTTGAGTTACTTTACCGTGTTCATAAGGAGAAAATGTGCCGGCATCAAGATTAATATATGGATCTATTTTTATAGAAGTTACATGAATCCCGCAATGTTTAAGAATTGTACCGAAAGAACTAGATATAACGCCTTTACCAACACCGCTAATTACACCACCTGTTACTAAAATGTACTTCATTTTTTTTAATATTTTTTTTTTAAATTAAAATCAACAGATTTCCAAGGCAAGTAAAATAAATCAGCACGTGCTATGCTAGTGTATACCACGAAGTAATAATAAGGAGACTCAACTATAATGGTGTATATTATCGGAATCCGGCTAGAGTAACCGGACCATAAGTGACCTGTTCGCTAAATGGAATTGACTCTCGAACGAGAGCGCATGTGCAGTGTCTATGTGTCTCTCTCCAACTAAGGGTACGGTCATACTATCTCATGCATGCACTGTGCATTAGGCTCTGTCACTTGTGACGTAAGAGTCGATTCTAGGTGTGACGTCAGAGGCCTCCCCACTGAAAATTCCCACATAGGCTCCCATATGGGAAACCACATGGGTCCCTATATAGGAAGCCATATGGTTTCCTATACAAAATCGTATACGTAATTGGAACAGGAATTTGAATAGGAAATTAAGTCGGAATTATTATATGAATCCACATCCACACAGGAATGTACATTCCTATGTATATTCCTATTTCAATTCCTATAATATGAATTTTTTTTTCAACTCTAAGATATGTATCTTTTAATAGTAGAGGTTCCTGATAGACTACAGAGATGAAAAAAATTTATTGCGCAGCCGAAAAAGTTGATGAAAACTACTGCGCATGATATTAAGATATAATGTGCATTCATATGATAATTCCTACTTAATTTCCTATTCAAATTCCTGTTCCAATTACGTATACGATTTTGTATAGGAAACCATATGGCTTCCTATATAGGAGCCTATGTGGGGATTTTCAGTAGGGCTGGAGGGACAACAAACAGACGACACAATGTTATTCTTATGGGGAAGAAAATTAGTTTCCACTTTCATCAATTTTATTCATACTTTAAACATGGAAAACGCTTGTTGACATATAATAAGATTAAAATGTGTGTTGATAATTAATTTTGTTATATATTTGATTCAATTGCGTTGATAGATTCTCTGAATTCGTGATAAGATATAAACCCCTAACCTCAAAATTTATATATTATCACGAATTGAGAGAATCTATAAATGCAATTGAATCAAATATATAACAAAATTAATTATCAACACACATTTTAATTTTATTATATGTCAACAAGCGTTTTCCATGTTTAAAGTATGAATAAAATTGATGAAAGTGGAAACTAATTTTCTTCCCCATAATGGAGCGGTCACACCAGGAGTAGTTGCCAATGGCAACCATGTAAGAGTAAGAGAGATGGAAAATCTTCTATCTCTCTTACTCTTACACGGTTGCCATGGACAACTGCTCCTGCAGCCGAGGTGTGACCGCTCCATAAGAATAACATTGTGTCGTCTGTTTATTGTCCCTCCAGGCCTCTGACGTCATATCTTGAACTCGAAATATCTCGATGAACTGACACAGCCTAATACATGACACTGAACTCTATATGTGACGCTCCACGGTAAAAGGGTGCTTAGTACGGAAGCCTGTACGGCTCACGAGCGTCTCGGACGCAAGTGTCACGAAGTCCGCCCAACTACGGAAGCGCCTACGAGTCACCAGCGAACTATCTTGTTCGCGTCACATTTTTAGCTGTGAAACCGAGGAACGCGTTCGATGGTTTCGCTGTTTCCTTGTTTTTGAGTGACGATAAAACACACTATACGGTTCGATAGTTCTCTGGTTTTACTTAGTTCTATCGTTATCGAAGTCTAAATTTTGTATTAAAAAAATAAATTTAAATTTAAAAACCGAAATATAATAATATATTTAAATTATATATTTGAGATATATCAGATATCTTATAATGTGTGCCTAAAAAATTATTTTATTTAAAAATAATAGTACAAAATATTATTTTGAAGTAAGTTGATTTGTTTGCATTTTATATTTGTACTATACTATTAATATTTTGTACTATTATTTTTAAATAAAATAATTTTTTAGGCACACATTATAAGCTATCTGATATATCTCAAATATATAATTTAAATATATTATTATATTTCGGTTTTTAAATTTAAATTTATTTTTTTAATACAAAATTTAGACTTCGATAACGATAGAACTAAGTAAAACCAGAGAACTATCGAACCGTATAGTGTGTTTTATCGTCACTCAAAAACAAGGAAACAACGAAACCATCGAACGCGTTCCTCGGTTTCACAGCTAAAAATGTGACGCGAACAAGATAGTTCGGTGGTGACTCGTAGGCGCTTCCGTAGAAACACCGCCACTTGCGTCCGAGAAGCTCGTGAGCCGTACAGGCTTCCGTACATATTGGAGAAAGGCCTTTACAGCAGCCAGATGTGTGAATGCGCCTTGATAGTTCGACCGTTTACACTGTTGTTATGGTAACTTGATTGAAATGAACGTTATGATTATCGTTAGTGTTTGAAATATAGTTTTCAATTAGTAAAGTAATGTATATTATTTAGAATATTTGTATTATACTTTAAAGTTTTCGTTGTTAAAGAATTTAAATGACCACATATTAAAAGTATTTGACTTAACAGCGAAATCAGTGTGATCAATTCTATTTTATTAGTATATTTATAATTTTAATCATCTTTAATTTATATTTGTGGAAATAAAAACTGCAAGAAAATGTCACATCTAAGATATATGAAAGATTTAAATAATGTAACACGAATGGATGAAGCAATAAGGGGACCTTTACCTCGATGGCAGAAAAAATGTTTAGAAGCTTCAAATTCCAGGTAACTATTTAATAATTTGGTTTGAGTTTAGTTTGTAGACTTATGAATCTGGCTTTCGTTTACTACAATCTTGATTATTCTAAAGGAGGCAGATATCTTTAAAGTTGATAAAAATTTTCTTTTGTAGTTAAGTATTTCTAAGAATTGTTATTACAAATATGACAAAATTTTGTATTTTCCATTATTAAAGTATCCGTATCTTAGCAGTCCATTGAAAAAGTTTTTACCATTATTGATTATATCTATTAAGCTCTTGTTTTTTTACTATAACTATTCGTTTATTAATGTATAAAAGAGATAAAGTTAATTTTGTTCAAAATTTGGAAAAGCATATAATTCCTTAAATTTTTTCTCATTGACAAAGCTTTGTTTTCCTACCGAAAAAAATGTAACGTAAATTTTTGTAATTTATAATTTAACTTTTCATCGATTTAAAAATTATTTAGGCTAAATTTCAATAAATCTACATTTAAATTACTTGAAGCATTTATTAATTAAAATTATAGTCAATTTAAATATATCTTAATTTTAATCACCCATTAATTTAATCAATATAAAATTCAATTTTTACAAACTTAAATATGTTCAAATTTTTATTCATCCAAATTTTAATTTAATTGACTTTTTTTCTATTCAAATTTTAATCGATCCAAATTTCAATTCAATCTAAATTTTAGTTTAAATTTCAGTTGCTTCAATTTTTAATTAATTTTAATTTTTATTGGTTAGAACAAATTTATTAACCTTTAGACTGATGGGAATCCATTACAATGGGTTTAACGTTAGCAACCATTTTTTTAAAAATATAAATCTTAAAATTTTTGGTAATTTTTTATGGTCATTTTTCTCTCATTTGCAGGCAATCTAAAGGTTAATTGAAATTTTATTCAAATAAAAATTCAATCGATCGCAGCTTAATATTAACGAAATTTCAATTAATCTAAAAATTAATTGATTTAAGTTTAAAATTATCAGGCCTCCAATTATACAACTTTTTCTGACTTTTTTCGACTGTAGCACATCCAAAATTCAATTATTTTGAAAATTTGAATTTAAAAAGTTTTTGCAAAATTATTTATTTTCAACAATTTTAATAAAATTCTTTAAAAATTCAATTATTTAATTATTATTTTCAATTTAAAATCTTTTGAAATTTGATTAATTCTAAAAATTTTGACTGTAACCATAGCACATAAAATTTTATCAATATTGTAGGCCCAGGACTCACATCCGCAGTGAAAAATAGTGTCAAAAGTGGCATAAAATGTTAAGAAAGGTGGCAAAAAAGTAGCATATTAATAATTAATATATATGTATATGGGTCATTCTATTTAAAAATTACAACTTTAGTAAACAATTAACAATATAAGACAATATTTAAATAATTATTTCTTCTATTTAATTAAATTAAATTACTTTTGCAATCAGTAGTTTCGAAAGAGAATTTTATAAACATTATTATTGTAAACTCATTGCAAAAGTAATTTGATTTAATTAAATAGGAGAAATAATAATTATTTATAAATTGCCCCATATATATTTATTTATTTATTAATAAATATGTTTAGTATATGCTATAATTGTAAAATTAACAAAAATTAGTAATATTGTTAAACTGTTTTTTATTTTATAACCATTTTAAAAATGCATTAAATTAAACAAGTGTGGAAACTAAAATTCTAATAGACTCACGTTCAAAAATTTCATTTAAGCGAGATATTAACCCATTAAGGCCCATATATTACACAGCGTTTCTAACGTTAAATTAACTATTGGATTCATAGCACAGCCGACAAAAAGTAATCCCTATTTTTTCTTATTGCAAAATAATTTGTTTAAACAATTTAATAAAAAAAATTCGATTTTTAAAAAACCAATAATAACGCTATTCGATAGAACGTGGGAAAATAAGCAACATTTATATTTACCCATGCACTGAAAATTGCAAAAACATTTAAACTAACTATTGGGTTCATAGCATAACCGAAAAAAGTTACCCCTGGGTCAATCCATTATATTTCGAATGAAGTCGTCGCTGACTAATTTTTAAAAATTATAATACTTTGCAGGAATGATTTTAAAGTTATCAAGATCACGAAATGAAAAGAATTTTATGAAAATTTTAATTATTTATTGCAAAATATGAATTTAAAGTATATGATGTGCTGAAAACTGTCAATTTTTTAGCCATTAGAAAATAAGCAAAAATACGTAGAATTTACCATAAAAATAAAATAATTTTTTGTAATTTACTAAGAATGAATAAATTTATCATTATCAATTGATATAATTATTTAAATATGTGAAATAATATATAAAATATGATTTTCAAGTTCGCCTGTCAAATAACCTAAATTTGCAAATTTCATCTATTAAATGTGAGAAAGAGAAGTCATTAAATTGAAAAAAACCTTACCAAATATAAAGTACCTGTGACTAAATTTTAGTTTTTCTTAGCACTTTTTTCCTTTTTTCTTCATAAATGTGAAATAAAAAGCAATAAAAATTGGCACTTTGCTTATTTTCACTATTTTCAAATGTAAATAACTTTCTTGGAGAAAACTGAAAAATTACAAAACTTGGGCAATATATAATTGATCACTAACTACACACACTTGAAAAAAATTCGCTTTGGTCCCGAAGATACTTTTTGAGATAATTATGTTTAAATTTTTCACAATTTTTATCAGGTTAATCTATGTGATTTTTATAAAATTGAAGTTAGTTCAAAATGTTTAACCAATAAAACCTAACTTCGTCCTTAAAAAACTACATGTATTAACCTGATAAATATTGTGAAAAATTTAAACATAATTATCTCAAAAAGTATCTTCGGGACCAAAGCGAATTTTTTTCAAGTGTGTGTAGTTAGTGATCAATTATATATTGCCCAAGTTTTGTAATTTTTCAGTTTTCTCCAAGAAAGTTATTTACATTTGAAAATAGTGAAAATAAGCAAAGTGCCAATTTTTATTGCTTTTTATTTCACATTTATGAAGAAAAAAGGAAAAAAGTGCTAAGAAAAACTAAAATTTAGTCACAGGTACTTTATATTTGGTAAGGTTTTTTTCAATTTAATGACTTCTCTTTCTCACATTTAATAGATGAAATTTGCAAATTTAGGTTATTTGACAGGCGAACTTGAAAATCATATTTTATATATTATTTCACATATTTAAATAATTATATCAATTGATAATGATAAATTTATTCATTCTTAGTAAATTACAACAATTTTTTTTTATTTTTATGGTAAATTCTACGTCTTTTTGCATATTTTCTAATGGCTAAAAAATTGACAGTTTTCAGCACCTCATATACTTTAAATTCATATTTTGCAATAAATAATTAAAATTTTAATAAAATTCTTTTCATTTCGGGATCTTGATAACTTTAAAATCATTCCTGCAAAGTATTATAATTTTTAAAAATTAGTCAGCGACGACTTCATTCGAAATATAATGGATTGACCCCCCTATTTTTTCTTTTTGCAAAATAATTTATTTATCTAATTGATTCCGTTATATGTACGTTATTTTTAAGCACATATTTAAAAAATTGGAGAAAAAGTAAACAAATTTCATATACAGCATATTTTTTTATTCAAAAATACACTACCTTTGATGACGTTAAATTTAAAAAAATCATAAGTTCCTTCATTTTTATCAAATAAAAAAATTAAAAAACACGTATTTTCTTATTTTTCATATAGATTTCTAAAAAAAATATTTCGGGAAAAAAAAATTTTGAATGAAAATTTCCCGTGGAATGCCCCATATATTTATTTACTGACTTATTGAACATCTGAGTAAAAAATAGTAGCTAAATAGTGGCATTAACTGAAAAAAGTGGCAATAGTGGCGTGAGTCCGCGTCCTAACATTACCAACATTGACTCAATAATGCCGTTATTTCTGCAAGGTTGTTGCAATTTTAAAATATTGAGGCAATATTGCGAATATTGCTGCAAGTATAGATCGTGTGGGTCTTCTAAACTTCAATTATTTTTTATATTTCTATTTAAAATTCTTCGCCACGTCAATTATTTTTAATAATTTTAACAAAGCTCTTCTAAAATTTAATTACATATTTAAAACCTTTTTAAATTAAAAATTGTTTAAAATTCAAATTTAAAATAAATTAAATTTAAAATGCCTGAAATTCATTTTAAAAAATCTTAAGCAATTCAAAATCTCCTGTAATTTGTTAATAGTAATAATTTAATATCAAATAAATTCAATTTCACTTTTTCATAACATATGCGGCTCGTAAGCAAATTTTCCGGGGAGTTTGGTCCAGCCGGTCAAAATCGAATTTTTTTATTGCTTAAAAATATTCCTAAACATGGAGAGAATTCTCTTCCGAAATTATAGATAATTCAATTTCTATGCGGATTAACCTCAAATTTTTCTGAATTTTTAAAATAGAAAAAACTTACAGTAAAATAAAGGTCAAAATTTGTCATCCATTTTTGTTCTATTTTTCGACATTTTTGCAAAAAAAATTTTTTTTTGGAAAATTGAAATTTATCAAAATTTTTCTTTCATATTTTAATAAAGAACTTTTGGCATTTATGTTTTAGAATATTTTTATGAACCAGACTTGCCCCTTAATTGACAAAGAACTGTTTTTTTATATTTGCGTTTTTTATGAATTTTAATGGTTCAACCCTCAACAAAATATCTATGTATTAATATGATAATTATGCTGTAACAGAAAAGTCGATGTTTGCATATTTAAGTAATAGTACTTAATGATGAAAACGTATAAATTATGTCACTATTTTATTTGTGTAGTACCAGTTCTACTTTGAGTTTGAACTCTTCTCGAAAATTAGCTAATGCATCTGTAAATAATGTGAGTACTGGAAAAACGCCAACTAAACGATTAGAGGTTCGAACTAAGAAGACTCCATCAAAAGGTTCAAAAAAATCTCCAAGTAAGTCTACTTTATAATTTATTAATACACACTTTTTATATTCTCATAATACTCGATATTCATTAACTCAAAACTTTTAGTTTTTCCCTCTTAACTTTAAGGTTCTACTGTATATATTGATTTACACTGCAAATGAAAAGATTTATCTAAATTCGTTTCCTTTATAGTTGTAAGTACTATAAACAGAAATTAATTAAATTTTGAATAGGTCGCGGTACGACGCCTGCCAAGACTCCCAGTGGTGGAGATAGATTTATTCCTTCAAGATCAACAACTAACTTCGATTTGGGTTATTTTAAGGTAATTAAGTTTATACATATTCTTAAAAATACAATTTAGCCATTGTCAGTAAGATATATAATTATAAAACTTTGCATTATGAACTGGAGAATATTAAAAAAGAATTTAATCTTCATAGTTACAACAGCAATACTCAGAGCAAAATGGAGATAAAGAAGGAACTGTTAGTCCTTCAAAGAAAGAAATGCAGCGGCTTATTGGAGAAAACCTCAATGGTGGTGATATAAATAATATGCGAGTATTGTCTTATCAAAACAAAGCTCCAGCACCACCTGAAGGATACCAAAACTCTTTAAGAGTAGTGTACAGTCTTTCTAAAACTCCATCTAGTGTTAAACCTTCTACAAGGTATATACCACAAGCACCTGACCGCATTTTAGATGCACCTGAAATAGTTGACGATTATTGTAAGTACTATTTATCTTCTACATCGTCACTCCTTTTTAATAATAATAATAATAATATATCTATAAATAATAAATCTATATACACTACCGTCGGAAATTGTCGGTACGGCTGATGTGCGAGGAGTAAAAATTTGGTGTTGAATTTAAAGCAAGATATTTTGAGTTAGAAAGAAGATAGAGACTTCTAACTTAGATGGTTGGAATGCTGATAAGATTCTGCTTCTGAATGTATATCAAGAAATTTTTTTTCTTTTTTTTGGTATTTATTACACCAAAAAGATTTCAAGAAAAAATTATGCAATTTTCTACTTTCGTACTAATGTTTTTTGACTCCCGGAATAATCTAGAATAATACATGGAAAAATTTGACAAAACAACTTAATCTTTAAGGTCTTAGCTTTAATTTGGTTTTTTGAAACTTCAAAAATGTTTTGTAGTTCCTGTAATATGTTAAAAAAGGTTCGAGCATGTTTTCCTACAAGTCAGCCGTCAATCATCACTTTTCGCCGCCTCGCTGCTAAGTTGTAGGAAAACATGCTCGAACCTTTTTTAACATATTACAGGAACTACAAAACATTTTTGAAGTTTCAAAAAACCAAATTAAAGCTAAGACCTTAAAGATTAAGTTGTTTTGTCAAATTTTTCCATGTATTATTCTAGATTATTCCGGGAGTCAAAAAACATTAGTACGAAAGTAGAAAATTGCATAATTTTTTCTTGAAATCTTTTTGGTGTAATAAATACCAAAAAAAAGAAAAAAAATTTCTTGATATACATTCAGAAGCAGAATCTTATCAGCATTCCAACCAAGTTAGAAGTCTCTATCTTTTTTCTAACTTAAAATATCTTGCTTTTAATTCAGCACCAAATTTCTACTCCTCGCCGTCAACCGGACTAAATCAAAAATGAAACAAAATCAATAAATTACTACAACAACTTAATTAAGACCGACTAAATAAACATTATAAACAACTAGACTTTTGCACGTACCGGTGTTGCTCAGCTATGCTGGTCGTGGAGAGAGGGATCGGTTTCTTTGTTATAAGAAAAAGGTAGTTCAAAACACAATAATATACTATAAATAAATTAACAACTAATTAAATGAAATTTCCCAATATATTATTCCAACGAAATTTAATTAAAAAATTGATAACAGATTCTGATAGTCATGTCTATATTATAAAAAAGTTGGAAAACAAAATAGATTATAACGTTAGAAATTATTATAAACTAAGAAAATAACTTACAAATTTTGTGTCGATGATGGGTTGACTCCTGATAAGGATTATAACGCTGATTTATACTTTAAAAATATTTCTTGAATAAGAAATATGGACTCATGATGTAAATAGTACAAAGTACATTATTATATAAAACCTGGAGCAGACTATAACATTATTCTGTAATTAATAAAACAAGGAAAACTGATTCTAAAACACTACACATTTACTTGACCAAAAAAACTAACTAACTATGTTAACACAACAGGGGATCGGCGACAAGACAGATTCAACAGTTTTCAGAATTATATTTAAATTTAAACTTAGTACAAAAATTTGACACTAGGTGACGAATCGGTATTCTCGATATTATAAACGAGTGGGGTTTTTCTCCTACCTTACTTCTCCCAGAATCCTGAATTACTAATACTACAATATTGTACTAAAGCGACTTTTCCCATGGTAAGATTGCGACCTTCATGACCATGGGGACCTGTCAATTAACCTAAAGGGAGCTTCTTTGACAAACGAAGTCGCTTTTCGTTTTACAAAGCCTGCTAACTTACTAGCACTTATATATCAAAATTCCTTATTATGGAGCGCCAACATTTCATTTGGACTTTTGTAAAGTGTAGGGGAAATGGGGATTAACAAACCAAATTAATACAGGGAAAACTAACATAATTTAGACAGAACATTAATCAAGTCGACAAAAATTCAAGTACTAAAATAAATATGATTTTGGAGTAGTGCTATTGTGACGTCAAGCGTAAAATAACGTCACAACACATATACAATATGTAATAATAGCCCGTGTAAAAAATGAAAACTGATCCTAGCTTGGTCCTATCTATTTTGCCCTATTATTAACTAGGTCCAAATTTGGCATTCTAGTTTGGTCCTACAATGGTTTGTGATGCGATTTTAGCCTGGTCCTAATTTAGGTATCTAGTTAGAACCAGTTTTAATAATAAATAATTTAAAAAATTAATTTTAACCACAATTAATACTAACTTTCTAGAAGGGATATCCTGTAAGTTTTAAATTAAACTCTGAGAGTTGAATTAAAATTTGAACTCTACGGGAATCGAACCCCAGACGCATGACCTAAGAGACCTAATAAACGCTTTAACGACAGCGGCTACCGAACCTAATTAAATATTTTTATTTGATTTGTCTATATAAATTTTCACTATATATTTTTTTAATTCTATTTTAAAAAATTCTTAAAATTATCCAGAACTTTCACTGTAAGTGTTTTATGTTGTCAAATAATGGATTTAAAACATTATATTGCATTGTTTAATTGTTTAATCAATTTATTAGCGATTCAAACAGCTACACTAGCGCCACAGTTGAACTAACGTAATAATTTAAAACACATGGTGTGCTACAGAGCGAGTCACGCTTAAGTTAGTTCAACTGTGGCGCTAGTGTAGCTGTTTGAATCGCCAATTGTTATTTATATTAACTTTTTTTGTAGTGCACCTAGAAAGATGCAGTTTTTTCCTAATTTTACAATTTATCTAATCGAATGTAAAGCCAGATAGATTTGATATAAAATTATTAATTCAACAATTGTTTAAACAATTTATTGTTGTTATTTATTAACTTTTTTGTAGTGCACCTAGAAAGATGCAGCTGTTTTCTAATTTAACAATTTATCAAGTTTATATTATTCTACTTGATAATTACCAAATTATAAGAAAAAACTTCATCTTTCTAGGTATACTAAAAAAAGTTAATTAATAACTATTATAACATTAAATTTTTTTAATAAATTGCAAAAATAGGAAAAAAATACTGCATTTTTCTAGGAAAATTATGGAAAATGTTAATAAATAGAAACAAGTATTTGTTTAAACAATTTAACATAATACACGGAGAAAAAAGAATTGTTGTGATTACTAAAAATTAAGTCCACACAACAATTTCGGATTGTCAATATAGAACCAGCAGTTCTATTTGTTTTAGGACAAAAAAAATTGTTAAAATGGAATTGTTATTAAAACTATTCGGATTGTTTGGTGAACAAACAGAATTGTTTGATGAACAAAGAAAATTGTTATGGAACAGTTGAAATAACAAAACTAAATTGTTAAATCGGCAATACAATTTGTTGTATTAACAAAGCTTTGATCCGTCTAATACAATTTGTTCAGTATCTTCGTCTTCTAAAATAATCGATAGCAGATTTCCGTATGTCATATCACCAGTTTCATTTGCATTAAAATCTGTGAAACATGCAGTTTCTGAATCAAATTCTTTGAGCTGAAACCAAAAAATTATTTTGAGTTGAAATTTGTTGTTAAATAATATTTAATATTCACTTTGTATTTTTTAATGTGAGGTTATGTTCAATAGTAACCGAGTATAACTTGTCGATAAACGATGAAATTGTCTCTTCATCCATTCATTACATTTGCAATAGATTTCTCACTTTAACCGGATTTATTATTTAACAGCACTTTGTCATTTAAACAAAAACTAATAATAAAAGCAAAAGTGACACATGTGCCAGAAGCAAACGACGCGACGATTTGCTCGCCAGTTTGCGAGAATTCAAGATGACCACGTGACATGGAACAATAAACCTGTCAGCTGAACAAATACGGATTGTTCCATCAGCAATCGACAGAGTTTGCTTCTGTACGGCATTGCAAACTGAACAAATCTGACAATAAAAAATTCGTGTTTTTGTTAAAACAACATACATTTGTATTGACAACAATCCGAATTGTAATATTAACATTTCGAATTGTTATATCAACTAATCTACTGACAACAATCCAAAAATTGTTTACAGAGCAATCCCATTTTTCTCCGTGTAGTTGTTGCAAATTTAATTCTATATTTTATTTTATTTATAACCTTTAAATTTATAACTACTAAGAAAAGGTAACATATTTATAAAATTGTGCTACTGTCTATGTGTATTTAAAAAAGTTTTAAATTATGAAGAATGAATTGTTTAAACAAATAAAAATTCAACAAAATATTTTTGAAATACATTATTTGGCAAACAAATATAAGTATGGAAAAATGTCTTTAACTATTTATTGCAAATTAATAAATAATTAAAACCATATAAATAATTATCAATTATTTAATAATTATTATCTGAGAATATTTTATAAATTCTAAATTCAATCACTTTTTTCATAAAATCTAATAGAAATTCCATTAAATCAGAATTAAGTTAAATAGAAATCAGATTTGATATTTGCCAAATATAAACTTTTTCATTCTATTGGTAATAGCGTACTGACTTTTAAAAATTTCAGATTTAAATTTAGTTGACTGGTCGCCTACAAACATTTTAGCAGTAGCCTTAGGTTCAACTGTTTATTTGTGGAATGCTATTACCGGAACGATTGAGCAACTTTTTGAATTGGAGAGTAATGACTATGTTTGTTCAGTTTCTTGGATTCAACAGGGTCCATATTTGGCAGTTGGAACAACATCGGGAAATACAGAACTTTGGGATTGTAGTGAAATGAAAAGAGCACGTGTGATGAATGGACACGCGGCAAGAGTTGGTTCTTTAGCCTGGAATCATCATATTCTAACTAGTGGCTGCAGGTAAACGAAACTAACGCAATTTTTAATAACTGTTTTGACATTTTTCATGTGAAATTTACTATTTTTCCTTTAGTATAACAAACAAGATAATGAGATAAGATTAATTTCAATTTCAGAGCTGGTCAAATAGTTCATCATGATGTCAGATCACGTGATCATGTAATTAGTACAATAGAAGCACACGCTCAAGAAGTATGCGGTTTAAAATGGTGCCCCGATGGAAAATATTTAGCTAGTGGTGGTAACGATAACATGTTGCAAATCTGGTCTGCTGTTTCCGGTCAGCATCATTCTCGTCCACAACCTTTATATTCTTTGAATCAACATCAAGCAGCAGTGAAAGCACTTGCTTGGTGTCCTTGGTCAACTAATATTTTAGCGAGTGGTGGTGGTACAGCGGATAGAATGATACGGTTTTGGAATTGTAATACAGGTACTTATTTATATTTGTCCTTTCTAAAAAAATACATTAATTGAAAACTCGAATAATAATAAGATTTTCGTATACAAATTATGAAATAGAAATAATAAGTATTTTTTTATTTAAACAGGTACCTGCTTGAATTCAGTGGATACAAAATCTCAAGTTTGTTCACTTTTATGGTCAACTACATATAAAGAAATTGTTTCTGGACATGGCTATGCACAAAATCAATTGACAATTTGGAAATATCCGTCAATGAATAAAGTTGCGGAATTAACGGGACACTCAAGTCGAGTTTTACATTTAGCTATGTCGCCAGATGGTACTACTGTTTTAAGTGCAGGAGCAGATGAAACCCTACGACTATGGAAATGTTTTCAACCTGATCCTCATAAAAAGAAAGAAGTCACTGACGTCAAATCAGTTGCTTCTAGACTAAAACAGTCTATTCGATAATATCGGTTTAGTAATTATATATACACATCGTGCATTTCTATTTTTATAAATTGTAACAACTTTTTTTGTCCGTTAAATATATTATGGATTACACAACAAAGTGAGTTTTTAACTAATTTATTTGGCATTCATTTTGGATACATTTATGTAAACTTCGATTTTATAAGGTAATTTGACATGAAATTAAATAAAAAACTAATGTTTGGAAAAAAGGATAATTATTATTAAAATTTTAGATATATATTTACATTGATAACAATTTGCTATAAGACGTAAGCTGAAATTAAGAAGCAGCAGATGTTTCATTTTCAGATGTAGTTGATGCTTCCATACGACGTTTTTCAGCTGCTTTTCGATTTCTCGATGAGTGAATGTAAGTTCTGGGATGTATAGGATAGAATCCTGCAAGACCAAATATCTCAAGAACTGGCCTTGAAACATGAGCACCTTGACCTATCCAGTACATAATTCTTTCAAAATTGAGTGCCAGTAACCTCTCGTTATATTTGTTTGGTATTTTGTCATAGCTTCCTACTTGTTCAACTGGTGGTTGTCTTTGTTCTAGCCTCCTCTAAAAATAAATATACTAATTAATAAATAATGCAAATAATTCATTAATCCATAAACTATTGAGTTTACGAATATCAACGAATTCGTCAAACTCAGAAAATTGTAAAGACAATTTCCCAAAGACAAATAAAGATTCATTTAAATTTCAAAATTGATTTTAAAGAGGAAGATTAGTACTTTAAGATACAATATTGATTTTTTTTTGAAAAAATTATCTCTTGATGTTACATGACCTCAAATGTAGCTAAAAACGTGTCTTTCTTGCACTTTTAGGTTAGAATATCTCAAAAACCTGACGTGCAGGGTCAATTTTGAGTTCGAATTCGAATTCAGCACGTCAAAAACCTTCCAGTTATTGTCTTATTCTTAATAAAAAAATTTTATCAGAATTTAACCCTTTAAAGTACGACTTTTTAGGGTTTCGTGGCTCAGGCCCGAAAGCCTTACACTGAAAAAAGGGTTTGGTATTGACAACCAAACATTTGGTTGGTATTTAACCATCCAAACTTTTTTTATTGAATTAACAAAATTTTTGTTGTCCCAATCAAACTTTAGTTAGGACAACAAATTTGATTGATTGAGACAATTAAAATTTTGTTGATTCAACAAAAAAATTTTGGTTGCTTAAATACCAACCAAACGTTTGGTTGTTAATACCAAACTCTTTTTTCAGTGTATAGTTTTGCTTTGGCGTTCGTCGTACACTCGTATGACTGCCATGGTAACAGTTACCATGGTAGTAAACGTTACCTTAGCAGGCCACGAAACCTTGCAATGTAGGCGACAAGGGCCTGCTTTTCTCATTTCTTTTTAGAATAATGTAAATTTTGCTATTTCTTGCATTTAAGGGTTTTTGGGGTCTCTGATTATGAATCTGATATCTACAAAATTGTAAATGAAAGATTTTTTAAAGATTTATAATTATAAATGCTACCGTAAAACGGGGTTATTTCGCTTAGTACGGGTAAAGTCGCTCACCCATTTTTTTTGCTTTAAATTTGATTTAAACTAAAATTTAGTATTTCTATTAACAAAAACATTTTTACCTGGTAATAAAGGTATTAAACTTTATTTTAAAGATAAAATAAAACATAAAAGTGGGTGAGCGAATTTACCCGCAATGAGCGAATAACCCCGTTTTACAGTGCCATTCTAATGACAAATTTTCCAAATGTCATGACAGTTGTAAAAAGTTGAAAATCTTACAATGTAACATCATAAAAAAATGTAAGTAATAACAGAATATGATAAGTTTATTGTTTTCTATGTTTCTTATTACTAATTACTTTTTTTTATTTCTTTTTCTATACAAATGTTATTTTCATTTTCTTATAAACATGAAGTTAATTAGGATATGCCCAACATGTGAAATTTAAACAAACATGAAATATAAACAAACCATGCACATTTTTTCGCACTTCTCATTTGTGTATGAAATAAAAATTTGTCGTTTTTCGAAAAAAAACATTCGTGTATATCTGAGGCACGGACGTTGAGCACCTATGTAGGAGGGAGAAAGAGTTGGACGGTCACATCTTGGGAAGGGTAAAATTCTGAAACTTTACCCCTTCTCTCACTTTCTCCCACCTAGGTCCTCAACGTCCGTGACTCAGGTAATCTCGAATGTTTAAATTTTTCGTAACCTTGAAAAAATTGATATTTCAGTGTACTTTTCATTTCATTATAATTATACTTATTTGTTCACATAATTAGTTCAATATAGTAGGTATAGTTACCTATTCTAATATATAAATTTACCATTTTCACAAAGAAAACGACAAATTTTTATTTTTTACCCAAATTAATGAGAAGTCCGAAAAATGTAAGAAAATTGGTAATTCAGTGAACTTTTCATTTTATAATAATCATACTTATTTATTCAGAAAAGTTGTTAAAAGAAGTATAGTAACCTAGTCTTACATATCAATTTACCATTTTCACAAAGAAAGTTAAAAATTTTTAATTTCTATTCAAATGAAAAGTGCAAAAAAAATTTATATGATTTGTTTAGATTTTGAACAGTTTTTTCGCACTTCTCATTTGAATAGAAAATAAAATTTTGTTAATTTCTTTGTGAAAATGGTAAATTGATATATTATATTAGGTAACTATACTTCTTTTAACAACTTTTCTGAAAAAATAAGTATAATTATTATAAAATGAAAAGTTCACTAAATTACCAATTTTCTTACATTTTTCGGACTTCTCATTAATTTGGGTAAAAAATAAAAATTTGTCGTTTTCTTGGTGAAAATGGTAAATTTATATATTAGACTAGGTAATTATACTTTATTGAACTAATTATGTGAACAAATAAGTATAATTATAATGAAATGAAAAGTACACAGAAATATCAATTTTTTCAAGGTTACGAAAAATTTAAGCATTTGAGATTATCTGAGGCACGGACGTTGAGGACCTAGGTGGGAGAAAGTGAGAGAAGGGGTAAAATTTCAGAATTTTACCCTTTCCAAGATGTGACCGTCCAATTGCTCAACTCTTTCTCCCACCTAGGTGCTCAACGTCCGTGCCTCAGATATACACAAATTTTTTTTTTTCGAAACCTTTAAAAAATTGCTAATTCAATGTACTTTTCATTTCATTATAATTGTACTTATTTTTTCATATAATTAGTTAAATAAAGTATAGTTACCAAGTTTAATACATTAATTTACCATTTTCATAAAGAAGACGTCAAATTTTTATTTTCTACGCAAATGAGAAGTGCGAAAAAATGTGCATGGTTTGTTTACATTTCACATGTTGGACATACCCTTAACTATCGTTATTTTTTTATTGCACATATAAATAATAATCGTTGTCATTGTTATTCAGAATATTTTATTCGTTTTTTTGAATCTTCAGTGTTATTATTTTGGTACCGACTTTGTAATCCGCAACCCCAAAAACCATCATGGAATAAGCTTCAGGCGAATTCGAACAAAAAATCGTCCGCCATATTGGATCCGCCAATTTGAATTTTTAAAATTCAGACACCGGATTCTTGATCAGCAACACCAAAAATCCCAAAGTAACATGTTTCAAGCAAATTAATTTAATGATTTTGGTTTAACTCACTTATAATCGATACCGCGTTTTACAGTGTAATATTTCAACTTTTACCTTAATTAACAAAAAATCTGTCCATTTTTTTGGATTTTGCCATTAACATTTTTTGTTCAGAACATCAAAAACTACAAAACTGCAAAATTTTGTTTCCCAATGAAATTTTTGTTTCAAATTTTTTCTCGCAATGGACAATTGTAATCGTTTTCAAGATATGACCAACTAACTTCATTGTTGTTAATAATAATAAGGTCATTTGTTAATCATAACCATTGGTCCTTGGCGGATTGGTTCAAGCGTATTTTGAGCGATTTCGCTTAACTTCGCTTAGAGTGAAAATTTATCGATAAATTGTTAAAAAAAATGATATAAGAGTCAAAAATAAAGGTAAATTAGTGTTTATATATATGGCTTGTGGAAAAATTGTGATAATCCTGGCGGATTGGATTCATGGAGCACGAGGTTAAAATTGAAATTCTGTCTAAAATGTATAAAAAATGATGAAATTGATAGTATAATTATTAAAATCAATAAGTTTTATGCATTTTAAGGTGATTATTGTTAAATTATTATAAAAATTTAATGTATTTATTAATTTCAATTTATTACAGTTTATTATCAACATTTGTCGATAAAATGAATAGAGACGCGATTTTTAGCAGGTAGGTGACAGCACTTTTTTTTTCTTTTTAAATTTTTTCAGTATTTTTTTTATCAGAAGCAAAACTCTTATTTATTAAACGAAAATATTGGTAAAAAATGTATTATTTTATAAAAAAAATAATATTTTCATTAAAAAAATTGGTGAAAAAATGAATTTTTTTATCAAAAAAAAGTTGAAAAAAATTAATTTTAAATGGAAATATTGATGAAAAAATTTTATTATTTAATGAAAAATATTGATAAAAATTTAAATATTTTTTATTAAAAATATTGGTAAAAAAATTAATTTTATAATTATGGAAATTTTTGTGAAAAAAAAATTATTATTTAATCAAAAATATTGATTGGTGTGACCGTAATCACATGACCGTTAACATTAATAAAAGTTGTGTTATTTCTTTTTCTAAAAGAGGTACGTTAGTGTATCGCTATACAATTGGTGAGGAGGAGTTAATGAGAAAAAATAGAATAAGGCATTTGGGTTTACTATTGACTAACGACTTCTCTTTTAATGATCATATCTCGGAAGTGGTGTCTAGAGCTTTGAGATCTTTGGGGTATACAATGAGATGTGCATCAGTCTTTCACAATTCTGGCACATTAAGGGTCTTATACTTTACACTTGTCAGGTTGATAATTAAATACGCCTCTATTATCTGGTCACCGATTTATGTATATAACATTATTAGAATTGAACGTGTTCAAAATAGATTTCTTAGATTTGCCGCAAAACAGCTTAATATTCCTTTCGACAGACAAGCTCATGATTACAGCAATTTGAGAACTATACTAAACATTCCCATGATTACAACAAGATTTCTTTACGCGGATTTAATTTTTCTGCACAGACTTTTGAATGGTTTTATTAATTGCCCCCCTTTTCTATCATTGATCAATTTGACGGTTCTAGCAAGAATTACTCGAAACTATTTGCTTTTCTCAATCACATTTCATAGAACTAATTATGGAAATAATGCCTCAGTAACTAGACTCAGTAGAGAAGCTAATGCAATTTCAAATGAAATTGATTTTTTTGATAACAGTTTAATTAGATTCACCTCAGCGCTACGCAGATTAATACTTAATCAAAGTCATAACATGCCAACCTGGATGTAATTATTTTTTACTGTATTCTTCATTATATATAAACTTAGTTTTAAGAAGTCCTTTTGAACAAAAGGGCTAGTCCCGTTGATTGAATAAAAAAATTGATGAAAATTTAAATATTTTTTATCAAAAATATTGGTGAAAAAAATTAATTCTCGCTTGCTCGATTCGAGCTCACGAGAAAAATCGCCCTTGTTCTCCATTCCTTGGAAATCTACTATTATTTTACTATTTTTCAATTGGTAAATTTAAACAATAAATTTTTTTTGTGCAATACGTGCAAGAAAAGCGCTACTTTACTTTAACGTAAATGCAGCACAAAGCTGTTGATTTCTGCATTCTGATAAACTGTGCCAGGGTGTCTAACAAGGATTGAGAAAAAAATTCCCTGACTTTTCCCTGACTCATCCCTGACATTTTTTGATTTTTCCCTGACTTTTTAATAACCTTATTTCTGCTTTCTTTGGACAAAAATATGGTTACTGACATATTTAACAATAAATTAATTTCTAATGGTAGTAACAAATGGTAATAAAAACCATTCAAGTTTTTTTAGACTAGCGCCGCCGACGGCCGCAAGCGGCCGTCTTCGTTGCTTCTGTTCCTTTTTCAATTTCCATTTTATTCATTCCATTTAAAAAAATGATTTAATTTCATCTTGTGTTTTTTATTTCATATCGATTCAAAATGTAAAAAAAATTATGAATGTGAAATAAGAGAGATTGATTTACGCTATAATCTCTCTTGCACTAATGATTTTCTGCTTTTTTTATTTATTTTAAATTATACTCATCTTTATGCTACTCCGTACTAATTTACTTATAATTGTTTATAGTCTGTTGATTAAATACTTTATTAATGGATTTTATTTAACGGTTCTATTTTATAAACTTTTTGGATAAATAATTTAAATTTCTGATAAATTGTAAAGTATAATGTAAATATAGAGAAATGAAATTTTTCAGTCTCATAAAGTAGTCACAGAAATGGTTAATTTAAAAAATTACATTCTGTAAATCATAAATTCAAAAAAAAATTTCTTTAAAAACAATATGAATAAATTTAATATATTATATAAATTTTTTAAGAAATTTGTATTTTAAATTTATCTAATCGAATTTTAATAGTTTTTTTTAATTTAACAATTTAAATAAAAAAAACTAAAAAATATTTTTCTATCAAAATAATATGATTATTTTATTTTTAAAACATTAAAATATATTAACTGTTTCATGTTTAATTTTATTTATATATCATGTTTTTAATTTTGATTAAATAGGAATATTATTTGAAATTATTAACATCATTAAAAAATTGAAATTTTACTACTTAAATAAATAAATTTTTTTTTATATATTCAATGTCTTTTTTCTTGTAGGAAAATATATTAAGTTGAATTACACATTTCAAAATAAACGCGCGCAATTTTTTGCAGCCAATCGAGTGATTTCAATTTAGTAGGTTATGTTTCTTTACGTCATTAGAATCACAGAAACTTCTTTCAGTCAGATTTTAATAATTCTCATTATTAGTGAAATAGTAATATTTATATTTACGTTTTTAATAAAGTGTAATTAAGTGTTGACGAAAAACGAAAGTCGCCTTTTTTATTTATGTATGTTACTTTCTCAATGTTTATCCTTATTTCAATTCCTTATTTCGATATCTTATTTCAATTGCTTATTTCGATTGCTTATTTCGATTCCTTATTTCGATTCCTTATTTCGAGCGCATGCCTCAATGTCTTTTTTTTTTTTTTTTAGATTAAAAAATTTTTAAATTCACAAAAAATTTTAATTTTTTTTTAGAAATTTACAGAAATTTCCCTGACTTTGAATGAAATTTTCTGAAATTCTCTTTTCCCTGACCGTTAGGCACCCTGTGTGCAGTAAAGTAAAAAGTGTGCAGCAAAGTACACTTTGCTGCACACTTTTAGATATATTAGACAACATGACTTTAAATATATTGTTCAAAACAGCATATACAATAGCTTTTTTCTTGCAGATATTGCATAAAGCACTGCCCAGATAGCACAACAATTTGCAGCAATTCTTCAGCAAGTTTACAATGCCAAATTTGTTAGTTTGCAATGTAAATTTGCTGCAAAACTGTGGCAAATAGCTATATGTCCACGCTTTGCGAAGTTTGCATTGCAAGTTTGCAGAAAAATTTTACATATAATTTGCAGAAAATTTTTATGGTAATCTTGAAGAAAATTTGCTGATAATTTGCTCAAATTCATGTCATGCGCAGTAGTTTTCTATGGCACTTAGGGCTGCGCAATAGATTTTAGTCGCCTTTCCTTTAGGAAAGGTTTGCAGTAAAATATCATCATATTTACAACAATGACATTTTTTAATTTTTGTCGAAAAATGTCCGCAAGTTTTCTTAAAATTTGTCATAAAATTTTCCTGCAATTTTTCTGCAAACTTGCAATGCGAACTTCGCAAAGCGAGGACATATAGCTATTTGCCACAGTTTTGCAGCAAATTTACATTGTAAACTTATAATTTGGCATTGCAAATTTGCTGCAAAAAGTTGTGCTATTTGGGTGTGTACAACTCGAATGGAAACAGCTTCTTTCCGCTTTTGTTGCACAATATACTATTATTTCATTTCAAACAGACATATTTCATGTGTACTTATACCAATTTTCATTAAAATCCATCAATTTCGGAGGTATAATTTTTTTTAATTAAACACTGTAAAACTTAAATTGTTTCTAACTCAGAGAATTTTAATTTTTTATAAAAATTGATAATAACGTCCTCATTTCATATATTATCAAATGAATGCAATAAAATCGAAAATTTGCTGTTACACTTCATGAATTTTTACCCTGCTACATAATTTTTTTTGCTAAGTATTATACATTTGTGGGTCATTCCCGCTTAAAAAACATTTCAATTTTTCACAAAGTTATGAATTTAGCATGCAACATAATAAATCATAAAATTGATAATTTAAAGAGAATGTCAATCATTTTCTAAAATGTTAAAATTATTGAGAAATTCCAGACAAATTCATAAATAGCTCCTAAACAGTCAGTCTGATTAAAAAATGTTATAAATACTAATTTTTATTAAAAATTTATTTACCTTTAATTTGCTTTAAAGAAAGTTGAAATTGGTCAAAATGAAAAATTACTGGTTACATACTGAATTCTAAGAATTCTATGATTCTTTTTCAATATTTCAACGATGTGAAAGAAATTAACTAAAATTCAACGGAAAAAGTGTCCCGTCTCAAAGCTGCAGACTAGTCTTTTAAGGGGGTAGTCTGGTGTTTCGATGCCTTTTTGGGAGCTTATTTCAGGGATTTTTTTTATTATAAAATAAAATATAATCACACCAAATCTTTTTACTTCGTTTTATTTTAATCACGAAGTGTTGAAAAAAATTATAATCGAATATTTTTTACTAGATTTTGTTATTTATATTTAATATTAATTTATTCTACACAAGCATGGCTCTGGCCCGTACTAGAATAAAACATTTTTGTTAATAAGTAACAAAATAGCGGACTATATAAGCAAAAAGATTCAAAAATTGTCTCTTTTTTACTGACAAAAAGTTAAACATAAAAAAAGTTATCATTAAAATTGCGTAATTCTAGTAAGGGCCACAGCCATACTTGTGTAAAATAAGCTAAAAAAAATTGGAGCAATCGGTCGAACAGATTTTTGTAAATCACCTGCGCCAGCATTTTTTTGATATAAACATTAATATTAAATATAAATAACAATGTCTAGTAAAAAATAATCGATTATAATTTTTTTCAACACCTCAAAAGGAGAATAAAACGATGTAAAAAGATTTGGTGTGATTATATTTTATTTTATAATAAAAATAAATTCTGAAATAAGCTCCTAAAAAAAGGCCTAAACACCAGACTACCCCCTTAATGATTCACGAACTTATTTTTGCTGTGTACATTTCATAAAATAATGTGACAGTAAAAATAAATAAATTGATCGTACGCAACTCTAAATTTACCCTTTTTAAGAAGCTCGTATACAGGTTGAAATGTAATGAGTTGAAAATGTGCGTAATGATTAAAAAACGGTTTATTGGTCAAAATAAATTAACCTATAATCAGAAGTAAATATCAAAAATTCATCCTACATTCAAGACGAATAAAAAACCATTTTATTTTTTAAAATAGGTTAACAAGAGTCCGAAAAAAATGTTTTTATTTCACACTGTTAAAAATTTCAATTGTTATTAACTCGAAAAAATTATCATCACCTAAGGATATAAATGTAACAAAAGTAGATAATTTTTTAAGCCGCAAACCAAAAAGTGTGACAGAGTTATCAATAAAAAATGTTGCCAGTGTGTATCACTGTAATAACCTTAAAATAGCCGGCATTTCTTCTCAGAAATTCTGAATTCTTTTAATGATCATGTCCATATTGTACATGTCAATTAACATAAACAATTTTCTACTAAGAATTTTATATATTAAAAGCTAATATGAAAAAGTAACTTATTATTTAAAGGAATAAAATTACCTCCATAACCACTATATTATAAAATGGTCTATTTGTACATCCATATCTGACGAATCTAATAGCTAATGCTGCACATTTTTTTAATACAACTCCCGTTCCTGATGCAGGATGAAGCGGCGTTCTAACCATTTTTATAAATAAATTATTTGTATCCTTAAGAAATATAAATTTTACAATAATACAATAATAATGAGAAATTTGATAGTTTTCAAAGTAAAATACGTTACGTTTTTTACGTAACGTACGTCAAAAGTTACAAATGTAAAGGAGCTTCTGCAACACGAAGTAATAATAAGGAGACTCAACTCTGTATTTGCCATCTGACAAAGTCACTGTACTATAAGTGACATGTTCGCTAAGGGAATTATACGGAAGCCTGTAAAGCTCACGAGCGTCTCGGACACAAGTGGCAATATTTCGTACCACAAGTGTCTTCGAGTCCGTCCAACTTGTGGCACGTTCGCGTTAGTTCATGCCACTTGTTGGACGGAGACGCCTACTTTTTCCTCAATTTTTAAATAACCGAATTTTTAATTAACATAATTTAAAATTACAAAAGTGTTAATAAACCGAATTTAAATATTTCAGAATTTTTAAAAAACCGAATTTTTATAGTTCCAAATTTTCAGTTTACACAATAAAAAAATAATCGAAATACCATTGGTTATAATTTTTATGTTCTCGAATATTAAAATTACAGAAAATGAAAAGAGCAGAAGTTTCACTTGACAGACTTTCTGTTCAACCTAATTGCGATTGGACAAAATTTTAAGAAAACAGAAATATCAGTTAACATAATTTCAATTTTGCAGAATTTTTAGTTAACATAATTTAAAATAAACAGAAATGTCATTTGACATAATTTTTATGTTCTCGAATTTTAACTTTTCCGAAAATAAAAATAACAGAAATTTAACTTGACAGACTTTCTATTCAACCTAATTGCGATTGGACAGAATTTTTAGATAACGGAAATATCAGTTAACATAATTTCAATTTTGCAGAATTTTTAGTTTACATAATTAAAAATAAACATAAATGTCATTTGTCATAATTTTTATGTTCTCGAATCTCAAATTAACCGAAAATAAAAACAGCAGAACTTTCATTTGATAGAATAAATCCATTGTTGATGATTGTTTAAACAATGAATACACAATGGATTTGGTATGTCAAGTGAAACTTCTGCTGTTTCCATTTTCGGTTAATCTGAGATTTGTGACCATAAAAATTCTGACAAATGGTGTTTCGGTTGTTTTTCAATTCTGTAAATTAAAAATTCGGCAAAATTAAAATTATGACAAATGATATTTCTGTTTTCTTAAATTTCTGTCCAATCACAATTCGGTTGAACAGAAAGTCTGTCAAGTTAAATTTCTGTTATTTTTATTTTCGGAAAAGTTAAAATTCGAGAACATAAAAATTATGTCAAATGACATTTCTGTTTATTTTAAATTATGTTAACTAAAAATTCTGCAAAATTGAAATTATGTTAACTGATATTTCTGTTTTCTTAAATTTCTGTCCAATCACAATTCGGTTGAACAGAAAGTCTGTCAAGTTAAATTTCTGTTATTTTTATTTTCGGAAAAGTTAAAATTCGAGAACATAAAAATTATGTCAAATGACATTTCTGTTTATTTTAAATTATGTTAACTAAAAATTCTGCAAAATTGAAATTATGTTAACTGATATTTCTGTTTTCTTAAAATTTTGTCCAATCGCAATTAGGTTGAACAGAAAGTCTGTCAAGTGAAACTTCTGCTCTTTTCATTTTCTGTAATTTTAATATTCGAGAACATAAAAATTATAACCAATGGTATTTCGATTATTTTTTTATTGTGTAAACTGAAAATTTGGAACTATAAAAATTCGGTTTTTTAAAAATTCTGAAATATTTAAATTCGGTTTATTAACACTTTTGTAATTTTAAATTATGTTAATTAAAAATTCGGTTATTTAAAAATTGAGGAAAAAGTAGGCGTCTCGTTGGACGGACTCTGAGACACTTGTGGAAAGTGGATTTTTTGAAGGTTTATTCACACAAATAATTGCTTTAAATTGTTTTATATTTATATTTTATGTGGTTAGCATGTATGTTTGATAAATAATTATGCTGCTTAGCAGCATTTTTCTACGATAAATTTTGGTTTTAATCCATTATAATATCGTTTTTCATTAAAAATTATTTTATTTTTCTGTGAATAGACCTTCAAAAAATCCACTTTCCACACGTGTCTCGGAGCCCGACCATCAAGTGGCACGAACTAACGCGAACGTGCCACAAGTTGGACGGACTCGAAGACACTTGTGGTACGAAATATTGCCACTTGTGTCCGAGACGCTAGTGAGCTGTACAGGCTTTCGTAGAATTAACTTTCTAATGAGAGCGCATGTGCAGTGTAACACGCAGGAATATGAAACTTACGGAAGCCTGTACGGCTCACGAGCGTCTCGTACGCAAGTGGCAGTGTTTCGTACCACAAGTGGCACGAAGTCCGTCCAACTTGTGGCAAGTTCGTTAGTTCGTGCCACTTGTTGGACAGACTCCGTGCCACTTGTGGAAAGTGGATTTCTTGAAGGGTCATTCACAAATATGACAATTCCGTTGTATTCTGTTGCCGTCTATTTCGTCAGTGCTTTTCATTTCAAGTATAATTTCATCCGGACAAGTCCGTTTAGTGTTTTTGAATAAAAATGAATTTGTTATTTTTTAATTGAAAATATATGTAAAAGATTACATTTCAGTGTAAACAAATGATATTGACATCTTTATTAATCTTAAAAATTCATAAAAATATACTTTTAATTTTAAAAAATAAAATACTCTTCATGTATTTTAAATTAAAAAATGGCAACATAACCAAAAAATCTTATTTTTATTCTAAACTAAGAAAAAACTTCCTCTTAATTCTTTATGCAATCCGTAGTTTATTAATATGTATATTTACGTTTGGAAGGAGTATTTATGTGTGAACTATAAAAAGTTTGTTCGATGACATTTACTAATATGCTAATATTACTAATATCTTATAAAATTCATTTTTTCTTCTTCACATGAAATTGAAATGAAAAGCACTGACGAAATAGATAGCAACAGGATCCAACGGAATTGTCATATTTGTGAATGACCCTTCAAGGAGCTTCTACAATAGCTCCCTTTGGCAACTCCAAGTCCAAGTCGGTTGGAGTTGGTTGCGCACGCATGGTGTTGCCAACTGTCACCGAGTTGAAAATGAAAAAAAAAATTGTGCGTGATCTCGTGCTCACGAAATAGTTGAGGTTATGTACCTTTGAAGCTGTAAACACGCTGTAAAGTTTAATAAATTATTTGTTGTTGTTGCTGTTGATGTTTCCGCCGTCTCATTGTTTTTAAAGGGAAGAAAAATATAAATTAAATTAAATTTTTCTTTTATAAATAACAAAATTTTTTTCCCCGAATAATACACAGGCATGCAATGAATTTAATATTTGTAATATGTAAATATAGTAATAAAGAAATATACAATAAATGAGATGAACTGTCAATACAAAATTTTTTTTATGTTTTTTATTGACATTATAATAAAAGTTTTTTATCATTTTGATTTCACAATATATTAAAAAGGTATTGTCATGAACATAACCTTACAATATTTTTACATTTTATCACATGAGAAGAGCGTAATCATAAAATGGAATAATTAAATTTAAAAATATTTGAAAAATAATGGAAAACGTGCGTTGACATATTTATTATATTTTTAATTAAATACGATTTTTAAAAATAATTTAACTTAAGATTACATTATTCTCATTAAGGGGTTTCCTAAATTTTTTTGGTCAAAAAAATCGAATTTTTTTTTCTTTATTTTTTGATAGGAAAGTATGTTAAGAATGTGTGGTTAAATCATTAGATCGTAATTCGCTCATAATCTTCAGTTATTTAACAAAATACATATATATATATGCGTCTACAGATCGTATAATTAACCCTTTCGTGTCCACGATAAACCGAGAGAATGGATTTGCTTGAAATTCGTTACTCGGGGGGTTATTGGGGTCTCTGATTACGAATTTAATGTCAGATTTTAAAAATTCAAAATGGCGGATCCAATATGGCTGACAAGTTTTTTAAAAAGTGTTTAGATTGGCTCGAAATGTCCTACTCGGGGGTTTATGGGGTCACTGATTACGAATCCGGTGTCCATTTTTCAAATTTCAAAATGGCGGATCCAATATGGCGGACGAGTTTTTAAAAAATGCTTGGATTTGCTTGAAATTTACTACTTGGGGGTTTTTGAGGTCGATGATTACAAATCTGATGTCATATTTTAAAAATTCAAAATAAACCCGACATGGTCATGGACCCAGTACGGACAATTCATCATATTCATATCATTTCATCATTTTCGAGCAAATCCGATTAGTTTTAAAATTTTTCGTCCGCCATATTGGATCCGCCATTTTGAATTTTTAAATTCTGACATCATATTTGTAATCAGCGACCCCAAAAACCCCCGAGTACCAAGTTTCGAGTAAATGCAATTGATTTTTAACTTTCATGTCCGCCATATTGGATCCGCCATTTTGAATTTTTAAAATCTGACATCATATTCGTAATCAGCGACCCCAAAAACCCCTGAGTAAGAATTTTCAAGCTGATTTAGTTACTTCTGCTTGACTAATTATAACCTTTTGATATCAAAACTTTAAACGCTTTTTTCTCAAAACACTATATTTAAAAATGGTAACCAGTAGAACTCAAAAACCGTTTGACCGATTTCAAAAATTCAAGTTGCATTCGATTTAGTGGAAGTTTTTGCAGGTCCTAAACCTCTAATATATTTAAAATATAAATATATAAAAATATATAAAAATATATAAAATATAAAATATAAATGTAATGCATATTTTCCTCTTAATTTTGGTATCAAAAGTAATAATCTTAATTCAGAAGGATTTTCCTCTCGAAAAAATCCTCTTAAAAGAAGAATAATATTCTAATATTTTGACAAGTTGAAAATAACCGTAATACACAGGTTTTGAATAAATTATTAGACAATAATGGTTATGTATTGATAATAAAGTACAGTTTTGACTCATTGAATTAAATGTTGATATCAAAACCTCAACAAAAAAAATTCCTAGTGTTATTAATGTCAAGAGAACCAATAATTTTTTTAAATTTGAATAATATAATAAATATTTAATAAGATTCAATTATTTACATTCAAAAAAGGTAAATTATAATAGATTCCTGGAATAAAGAATGAAATATTGGTTTTTAATTAAATATTTCTGAAAAATATTTCTT